CGGGCGGAGCCTCAATGATGAGGGGAGAAGCTTGTAAACACCTGCCTTCCCAAAACCACTCTCCTTGCGTCTCCGAGAAGCACCCAGCTGTTGTTTATCCTCCTCCAGGGACAGAAAATCCGATTGTTTATCTCCCTATTCCGTGATGTTATAAAGAATGGTCCATTAAACTAAGTTTGGGCGTCTGTCTCCCCACAGCCACCTCCTGGCTGGCACCCTCCTCCGGGGAGGCCGTGGGCGTGGGCTGCAGCCTCCCAGCGTCCGTCCCCTCCCTCCGCCGCCTCCCCTCTCCCCCCCTCCCCCGGTTATTTGGGAGATTAGAGTTCATTAATTAAATCCTGTGCTTAGATCGAACTGTAACATTATTCCAATCACATTTATCTTGCAGGCGGCGGCGGAGATGGCAGCCTCGCTGGAAACGCGCGGGGGAGCCTGAGGCGGCCGCCGGAGACGCACGACACGGCGCGCTCCCTCGCCAGCCACGCCGCGCACGGCCCCTCCATCTTCCCGCTCAGCCTCCTGCCCCGCTCGCCCCTGCCTCGGGGGTCCCCTGCCAGGCTCCTGCCCGCCCCCACCCGCAGCCCTCGGCGGCTGCCCTGCCCGGGTCCCCTCCTCCGCCGCACACGCTCACGCGCGCGCGAACACACTCACGCGCCAGCGAGCTGCTGGCCGCTCGATGGATCGATTTCCCCGCTTCCCCTGATCCCAGCCCAGCTCGGGATGAGAAATTGCAAAATGGCCCGGGTCGCCAGTGTGCTGGGGCTGGTCATGCTCAGCGTCGCCCTGCTGATTTTATCGCTCATCAGCTACGTGTCCCTGAAAAAGGAGAACATCTTCACCACTCCCAAGTACGCCAGCCCGGGGGCGCCCCGAATGTACATGTTCCACGCGGGATTCCGGTGAGTGCGGGCCTCCGGGCGCCCTCGGGAATCTGGCTCACGGTGTGTTTGGGGAGGGTGCGGGGGGTGTTTTGGCCTCTTCGAGGCACTTAGGGCGAGATCACTGCGTGGTCCTTCCACCTCGCTCTCTGCTTCTCCCTCCCCTCCCCTTTAATTTTTAACCCAAAGCCCATACCAGCCGTTATCCTAATCGATGTGATTGCTTTGCTCGTTTTCTTCCTCGGCATCCCTTCCCCCGTGTCAAAAATGGGGGGGGGGGCTTAAGGCGGAGGATGGTGGAGGGAAGGGCAGCGTGTGCATTGGGGAGGGGGCGGTGAACCGAGAGGTGGACAGGCGCGAGGCGGGCGCCCTCCCCGTGCCCTGTCCGCAGACCCCGCGGGCCGAGCTCCGTGCGGGGCAGTTTAATGGCGGAGGCGCCGGGCTCCCCTCGCACCCGCCTCCTCTCCGCCCCCACCCTCCATCGAATGATGCGCGGGTCTCTTCGCTTGAAGCCCCGGGGGCGTTCTCCCTAGACCCTTTCCCCCGCCGCCCTCCCCCTTTCCGGGATTTCTGCAATCCCCCCGCCCCTGCGGGCAGCGAGCCTCCCAGGGGCCGCCTCCGCTCGCCCAGGTCGAAGTCATCGCCGGGCGCAGCTCTGCACCGCTCGGCGCGGCTCCCCGAGAGCCCCCGCCCTACCTGTGACCCAGGGAGCTCTCCCGGCGGGGCCTCCTGATGGGCAGGTGGCAACTACAAACTGCAACCTGTGGTCCAAGCCGGGCCGGGGATGCGGGACCTAGAGAAGCCCTGCCTGGGCGGAGGAGGGGAGCTGGCCGGGGTCCCTAGGAATAGGCAGGAGTGAAATCGGGCTTAGGCGCGGGAAGGAAGAGGTTAAGGCAGGAGCCACCGCCGGCCTTCCCCTGGGTCTCCAGCTTCCTCAGCCCTTTCTCCAAAAATCAATCCTCTGGGCGGCGGGGGCGGCGCGGGGCGGTCCCGCGGCGACGCGGCCGCTGTCCGCGGTGCTGACTCGGGTCCTCCCGCGCGGCGGCTCGGCGGCGGCTCCCACCCTGCTCGCCGCAGGACGGCCATTTTATGGTCTCTCCCGCACCCGGAGGGCCGGACAATGGAGACGGGCCTCCCTGTTTTCCTTCTTTCTCCCGCGAGTGCGTGGGGGCAGAGGGCGGATCAAAGGAGAAGGGGCTGCGGGACGGAACGGAGCCAGCGCGCGTCAGGCGCCCCCGGCCCCGGCTGGACTTTAATGGCTACCTCGGCTCCCGAGCTGAGGCCAGCACGTTTGTCTGTACCCATGCTCCTCTCCAGGTCACAGTTTGCGCTGAAGTTTCTAGACCCGTCCTTTGTGCCCATTACGAATTCTCTCACCCAGGAACTCCAAGAGAAACCTTCCAAGTGGACATTTAATCGGACAGCGTTTTTGCATCAAAGGTAGGATAGGAGGAAAAGGTCCAAAAGGTGCTTTTGAATTCTGGAGCTCAAACAAAACAAAACAGAACAAAACAAAACACAAAAAAATCCCCAACAACAAAAATCTATCCTCCCTACCCTCACCATCAGGTGTATTTGCATTGTTTTCTTGACTTGACTGTACAAAGCAAGGATCAGTAACCCTCTCGTATGTATGTAGTGCCCTCCCCTAAGAAGGAAACATCAAGAGGACCGATATGAATAGGCAAAAAAAGATATTTTCAATAACCTCCCTGACTCGGGCTTGATTGAGCACCGTGTTTTACAATTAACAAGACTGGCTAATACTACTAAAGCTATCTATTTTTAAAAAAGAAAAGCTAATTGCAAAAAGACCACCCAATGCATTTTCATTCTCCCACTGAAAAAATTTGAAAAATAAAATAAAATGGTGTTGTTTCACTGAAACACACACAAAATACCATAATCCATCTCAATCAAATTACTAGTGAAAATGTTGGCCCAAATATATGTAAGTATCAAAGTATGATTTTGTTTTGGTTTGGCCTGTTTGTTTTCATTAAGCTTTTACAGCTTTTAACTTACTGCAAAGCTATCTAACCTCATTCTTACTAGTTGTAGCAGCTTTATTTTATACATGAAGGAGGGTATTTTTGTTTTGTATTGTTTTTTAGGTGGGGGAAGAAGGATAAGATTTGTTCAGATTGATTTATTCTACTCAGTTATTCTGGTCTACTCTTAGCAAACCCAATTAAATCATTACTCCTTCCTTCCTAGTGGGATTATTCTGCTGCTAAATGGGATGTGAGCCATCTAGTGTATTCATTAGAGGTGTGAATACTTATTTTACAAACCACTCTATTTAGGGAGTTGTGCTTTGGTCATAGCATTTCTAGTTATTGCTCTCTCGCTCTTTTAATTTTAATCTACTGGTAGAATTAAAAAAAATTCAGTGGGTATCCGTGGTATTGAGAAAATATTGTTTACTTGAAAAGTTGACATACAGTCATATGATTATGATTAAAGTTTTTAAAACATTTATGTTTAATTAGAAATTAGTTTATGAAAATCAATCTGTTCTAAAACCCTAGAAGTACTTTTTAAAATTTT